TATTAATTAATTTTGTTTTACGTGGTAGAGCCATGCTGAAGTTATATTAGTATAATTGTAGCACAAATGGGTTGGCTCGACAGGGGAAGGACCACGCTCTCACAGAATACCAGCGTCAAATAGAAGCTTAATGCTGCTGTGTTTCGTATGGTGAGTATGGAGAACCGGAGACCCTTTTTACTGGAAACTAGGCATTCCACCAGTCATTCATTCAGTTCATAATCGAGGATAGATGTAGATGTCTATGGGCCACAGCAACCACTTACCATCAGGTGGACTGTGTCCTCGTTTATCAGCCTATCCTATAAAAAATCTAAATAAAATCTTACTTGTTTCTTAGCCAGCCGACCGGTGCATGCTCCCTCTCATTTCACTTCACACACAGCAAAAATTAACGTGATAATACCGACACCGAAAGATACCTGTCCGACCGAAAAATACGAGTCATGTTTAAGTGTCATGTGCCATGCTGCCATATTTAATAATACGAGTATATGAAGGCGAAAGAGCATCATTTTCAGATTCACTGATGATCGATGTCTCGAATATGCATTTGTTACAACATAAGACCTGCCGACATATAATATATAATACAGGATGGGCTACCTAACGTTTGGAATTGGAACTATAGGTTCTTATGAGGTTGGAAGGTTTGATGAAACTTCCGATGTGACCGAAAATTAGTCATTTATGAAATTGGTCGTTTTTCGCTTGAATAAAGTTGGGAAATATTGTTACGAGCTTGAGGTTCGTGACAATAAAAATTGCCGATAAAATTACCTGAATTAACACTTTAATTTTCTTAACAAAAATTTAAACTTAAAACACTAATAATTAATCACACTTATTCCGCTCCGAAGCTTTGCTTGTCTCGCCAAATTCAATGTTTCCCCGATCGCACCTTGCAGCGCCTATAAATACACATTAGTACCGAATCATCCAGAACATTCAAGTAAATACGCGCACCAATCGACAAAGCGCCGAAAGTTCGAGAGTCAGCTTCCAGAAGCTTAGTTCTTCGTTTCGACAACAGATGGCGCTGTCGGTTGAAAGATTAGTTATGTCATTTTCTGGAAAGCTCTCCCCTCGCTCCGTTACCCGACACTAGATGGCGCTAGTGACAGATGTCAACTTAGCCGCGCAACACTGCCCCCTCCTAAGACATGCTCGTCACGAGCATTATCGGCCCCATAATAACGCGCCAGGCGATCCACATGGACGATCTTAGGAGTCCCTTTTGCGCCTTTCTGTAACGGCTCCGCATTGTCAAGGGCTGTCCTATCCCATGGTGCACCAACATTGTACAACTTCAACTTTATTTCCTGGAATATTTGAGACTCAAAATTCCGTCCTTGATCGCTGTGAATCTCTAAAGGTACTCCAAAACGACGGAAGACTTCATGAACTAGTATATCTGCAACTGTTGAAGCTTGGAATGAAGATTTGGAATGGTGAAGACTTTTGGCCACTTAGTGAAGTAATCCATCACAACCATGAAATACTTGTTACCGCTTTCACTCTCCGGAAACGGTCCCGCCACGTCAATGGCTATTCTCTCCCATGGTGTACCAACATTGTACAACTTCAATGCACCTCTACTACGAGTCTGAGGTCCCTTTACAGCCGCACAACTTCTACATTTGCGACACCAGTCCTCGACATCGTTTCGACAGTGGACCCAGATCTCCCAGTAGAGTTCCTTTAACTCCCAGATGGCCTCCTGAATAATCATTAAGGTACAGCTGTAGAACATCCAGTACTTTAGCTTTAGGGACAACCATTTGCAAATGACAGCTGTCTCCCCGAACATTTTCCCATTTACGGCACAGAACTCCATACTGAAGCAGCAAGCTGTCCCACTGGGCCCAATAGCTTTTAGTGATCGAACTCATCGCTGAGACGTCGCTCCACTTGGGCTTGGGAGCACTGGCCTTCATCCATTCCAGGATCGGCTTGATGTTCGGATCTTCCTGCTGTGCACGTTGTAAGCTGTCCTTCCACTCATTGCTGAGGTGGTCTGAAACGGATACCACTTCCTTACTCTCTTGCCTAGTACAATGTTTGCAATCTTCAGGACTAGGTCTTCTTGACAGTGCATCTGCGTTGCCATGAGATTTCCCGCTGCGATGTTTGATAGTAAACTCGTACCCCGGCTGCTGCTGGGCGGTGATGTTAGCCGCACTTCCCTTCTGAGATCGTTCACCTTCCCTTTCTAGGGTTCGCTTAGGGCAGCTGGATCGAAGATGGCCCCTTTCCCCACAGCCATAGCACCTAGGGCTGTATCCTTTATTGTGGTCGCGAACCGTAACTGCTGCAACCTCCCTAGCGTGAGGGGAGCGATGATCCAGCTGCCGCCAGGTTGTGCCGTTAGCTGCACTACCCTCTCGAGATCGTTCAACTTCCCTTTCTAGGGTTCGCTTAGGGCAGCTGGATCGAAGATGGCCCTTTTCCCCACAGCCATAGCACCTAGGGCTGTATACTCTGTTGCGGTCGCCAACTGTAGCTGCTGCAACCTCCCTGACGCGATGGGAACGATGATCCTGCCGCACGGCTTCCACCTCCAGTGCATGGGCCAAGGCGTCCTTAAGCGTCTCGTGGTGCCCGAGCCTCACAGCAGCTCTGACTTCAAGGTCGCGGATGCCGTCGCTGAATGTCTGCACCAGGTTCCCTTCAATGAGCGCAGGTATAGACCGGTATGCTTTCCGCACCAGCTTCTCCACCTCTAGAGACCACTGCTGCAGGTTTTCGTTGATGCGCTGCACGCGATCTTTAAGCTGCGCACGAAAGACGTGTTCCAGGTAAGCGTCGCCATATCTCGCCACCAATGCCTCAAGGAGTTGCTCATAAGTCACTTCCTCCCCGAGAGCTTCCAGAACTGTTAAGGCCTGGTCGCGCAGGCCTAGTGTGAGAGCAGTCATGGCCTGACTTTTATTCCAGCCGTTCGCCTTCATAACAGCCTCGAACTGGATTTTGTAGGCTGACCAGGAAGAAGTCCGGTCGAACGGTGGCACTTTAAACCCACGTAGCGAAGGTGTAGTAGCTACTACGGGAGCTGTAGTTCCATCACCCAGTTTGAGGTCGTCCAGCGTTTTCTTCACGTCAGCCACCACGTAATCAACCCGATTGTTCACTTGGTCGATTTGGGTTTTAGCTTCCTTGATTTGGTTTTCAGCTTCCGACAGGCGGTTGTCATGTTGAGCAACCCTATCCTTCACCTCCCTTATCTCTTCCCCAAAGGTAGCAAGAACGTCCTTCATGAGGAGCATCTGCTCTTCCGACCGACGAGCCTGTTCCGCCTGCTGATCTTCCAACCGACGGGCCTGTTCCTCCTGTCGGTGGGCCTGTTCCTCTTGTCGGCGGGCCTGTTCATCCTGTCCGCCAAGCTGCTCTTCCAACCGACGGACCTGTTCCTCCTGTCGGCGAGCCTGTTCCTCCTGTCGGCGAGCCTGTTCCTCCTGTTGCTCTTTCAACCAACGGGCCTGCTCCTCCTGTCGGCGAGCCTGCTCCTGCAGCATCACCATCAGAGCACCTAAGTCAGGTGCTGCAGATGTAGGAGCTACTGACGGGCCTGCAGCCGGCGGCTGGCCCTCCGAAGTCTGCGGCGTTGCACCACCAAATCTTCTTTGGTCCGTCTCCTGCTGGCGTTGACTTCGGGTACGGACACCCTCCGTTTCCTCCTTAGGTAAAATCGGCATGATTTTATCCCACTTCTGACACCAATTGTTACGAGCTTGAGGTTCGTGACAATAAAAATTGCCGATAAAATTACCTAAATTAAAACTTTAATTTTCTTTACAAAAATTTAAACTTAAAACACTAATAATTAATCACACTGATTCACTTTATTCCGCTCCGAAGCTTCGCTTGTCTCGCCAAATTCAATATTTCCCCGATCGCACCTTGCAGCGCCTATAAATACACATTAGTACCGAATCATCCAGAACATTCAAGTAAATACGCGCACCAATCGACCTCGTGTAGAGGCGAAACACGTGTCGTATTATCGTCGATGGTGTGTCTTGCCTGGAATAGTGGTGTTGAGAGTAGTGGTGCTTGGTCTAGTGGTGACGGAGTTAGTGTATGCAATTGAGGGAGGACGGGAGGTGCGCTTCAATCCAGGTAAGACACATCATTTTATATGTTTAGCGGAAAGTTGCAAAGAAATTTATATTTTTATTTTTTATTACTGTAAGTTCTATTTTACCTGCTACAATAATTTTAACACTTATTATACAGTTCTAGTCGAAGGTTCACTTGATTATATAGTATATGAGGTCAGCTTTGAAGTGGAGTAGGTATAACCTTGCTAAAGTAAACGTTTGCATGTATTCGACAATATAACGGTCATTTTCTAATTAACCCGTTTCTAAATAACCTGTCGGTATCAAACAGGTGGATGAGATATGTTCGAGTGAATGAGATCGCCTTAGCTTTCAGACAGCGCATCGATAGTGGCGATCAAAACATAGTCTTTTATTAAGCCTTATAAAAGAGACTAGACTTATATTGCTTAGTAACTGAAAACTAGACTTAGCCCTTTATAACTTAAGACTATTTTTAGTCATAATTATCTTAAATCTTAATTATTTTGAACTGCACTCGACCGTCTATTAAAATTATTAAAATTAATTATATTTTAGATTAAGTTTTAATATTGTGCAAGTTTGAGTCCTAAAGTAATGGCAGTTAGTCTTAAAATAAACGACAAAATTGACTTAATTTCATTTCATCACTAATACATAGTTTAGGGGGATAGATATATCACAAGTACTTGTACCCGAGAGTAAATCTGTGTGTGATTTTGTTTGTAGGTCAACAATGGGTCGACCAAAAACTAATTCTACGACCAATGAGAAAAGAAAAAACGCAAAAGAGAACTAGAACAAAAGAGATACCAGAAAATTAAGAGAGACCCAGTATTATACGCTCAATATCAACTAAAAAATAAAGCTAAATATGAGAAAAGGAAGGCAGAGAAGAAAGTGACTTCTATTAAAGAGATGACACCTAGAGCCAAGAGAGCGCAAAGAAAAAAATGGCGTGACGCCTTCAATGCCTATTATAAAAGAAAGAAAGATGCAAAAGCCGCTGCAATGAGATTTGTGGAGTTACATAGCCCCCCAGACAGTGAGGCAGAAGAGAATAACGAGCGTAGAACAGAATTGATTATACTAAATAGGAACTCTCCTTCTCCTTCAATTCTCGCCTCTTCTTCATTGTTACCGATTATGCGAGACAATAAAGAAAATACTGATCGCAATTCAAGAATCACAAGATCGCAGGGAAGTCCCCTTTCTGGTTGCACATCACAGGTTTCAGAAACATCTTCAGTTCTCAGCAGAGAAATTTCCCCTTTCCAATCAATCAGAAGATTAAGATACAAAAAAGACAAAAAATTAAAGAACTTACAAGACAATTGGAAGGAGTTAAGAAAGTAAATGAAGCTTACCGGAAGAAATTAAAAAGACTGACTGAGAAAAAAAAGAAAGCAGTGTAGATATTATGAATGACAAATTGCTACAGTCATATACAGCTCTGAAAACTCACAAAGCCAAGCAAGAGTTTGCAAGGAATCTTCAAGTGAATATAAAAACTACATTAAAAGACAAAGGGTGTTTAGGAAAATTGACTAACGTTTTTAGAAGGAGGGTGAGCGAGCAGAAAGGATCTAAAGTTAATAAAATACGAGAGGATATTAAGAGATTCCTTGAAGAAGACGAAAACAGCTCTGTTACTGCTGGGAAAAAAGAAACTATAAAGAAAGCTGGTGTAACAAAACAGAGGCGCTACATGACTGATTCCTTGTATCACTTACACAGAAAATTTTTGACAAAAGTCGATTACAAATTGAGCTTTTCAACTTTTAGCAGATTTAGACCATTTTTGGTTCTTTTTCCATCGCAAAAACCCAAGGAGACATGCCTGTGCATTACCCATGAAAATTTTAGACTATTAGTTGAGGCGATGCATAAACACCACATAATTCCTCACAAAAACACCACTGACGTGCTAATAGACATTTGCTGCGACCCTTTCAGTCCTCAATGTTTACTGAGGATATGCAAAGATTGCAAAGTAAAAAGTTATTACAAACTTTCAAGAATTTGATAATTCTGTTGATTTTAACTATTGGTCCTGGGCATCAAATCGTGAAAAAAATTGTACAAAGCGGACGGGAAAAGTGTATCAGAGTGATGAAAAAAGAGAAAATCACTATCCGGCCAAGAGATGCTATTCATATTTTTGAAAAACAGTTAGAGAACTTTTCCAAACATTGTGGAAGAGTGACAACTCGACATTAAAAAACAATTTGCAACCCGAAGAAGCCATTATTCATGTTGACTTCTCAGAAAACTATAAATGTCAGTATGCTAAAGAGATTCAGGCAGTACATTTTGGTGGAAGTAGAAAACAAGTAACTTTACATACAAGTTTATTGTATTTCTTTGACAGCGATTATACCAGAACAACACAATCTTTTGCCACAATAAGTCAAAATTTAAGACATGATGCTGCTGCTGTTTGGGCACACGTAGTTCCTATCCTTGAATATCTCAAACAAAAGGCACCCCAAATTACGATCCTTCACTTTGTTTCGGATTCTGCCACAAGCCAATACAGAAATTACAAGATATTCTTTGTTATCGGAGCCTTAAAATGGTATAATACTAGTCTGGCCTCATTGACGTGGAACTACACTGAGTCAGGTCATGGCAAGGGGGCACTCGACGGTGTTGGAGGGACGTTGAAACGCACTGCTGATGCAATTGTTTCCGGTGGCCACGATATTCCCGATTTCGACACTTTTCTCGATAAATTAAAAACTAATGTGAAAAAATATCGTAATTGATGTAGTATCAGATTACGATATTGTAGAAAAAAGATATACTGTTCCCTACTGATCTCCGTCCTTTCAAAGGGACCCAACAAGTTCACCAAGTTGTTTGGAATGACAGCGATAAGTATCAGGTGACAATGCGAAACCTAAGTTGTGTTGAAAAAGCTTGTATTATTCAGCCTCGCTGCTGTAATCATGTCAAATATCTTGGCTTACATGTCCTTAGGCCCGATATTTTGTCTAGCTCTGCCGGTTCAGATCCAGCTGATGAGAAAGAGAATACTGATCAATCAAATATATTTTCTTCTGTAGTTCCTTTACACAGATCTTACGCATTTTGTGTTACGAGTGAAAACAATCTCCCAGAAGAACTTAGGTCTGAAATTGTGACTGAGGCATCAGATGTGAGATCTGAATACGCTGAATTATGTTTTTCAGAGGAAATGATGAATGTTCAGAATTTGATGACTGTGGATTCTATTAATAAACCGGAGGCTGACAATGGATTTAATATTTCAGAAGATGTTGAAATTCTTGAACATTCCCTTCAGACGGTAATAAAATCGGCACTTGACGAACCTCTTGCTCAGCAATCTTCCTCGGATTTGACTGATCTGGCTGTCACTGCTGACTCTTGTGAAACTACAAGATCTGCTGGTGATATATCTTTTTTTCAGCTATCATCTCCTGATATGGCTGTATCACTTTCCTCTGTTCATCGTCCTGAAATTGGTTCTACAGAGCATGCAAAAAATTCTCTCCAATCAACTTCCAAATGTGTAAGTTCACAACTAAGAGCAGGACCGTCAAAAAGTAATAGAAAGACGGGAAATAAAGGAAAAAGAAATACTCAAAAAAATGAATCCGAAGAAAACGAGTGCTTCGACGAAAACAATGTCCATGAAGGTGATTGGGTAGTGGTAAAGTTTGTTTCCGAGAGAAAGAAAATACATCGTTATGTGGGCCAAGTTATCAATGAGAGTCTTGCTGGCCTTAATATAAAATTTGCCAGAAAAATTAATGACAGAAGATTTAAATGGCCAGAGAAACCCGATATATGCGTGATTGGAAAATATCAAGTGATTAAAAAACTTCCACAACCTTATTTCAAATCCTCCTCTAAAAGGATAGGAGCATTCGAATTTCCTAAGTCACTAAGAAAATTGAACATTGATTAACTCTACTTTAATTTTATTTGAAGAACTTAAACTTTTACTTTCTTTTGCATTTTGAATTTTAGAAGTATGTATTATTTTATGACTTTCAGAAGAGAGAATTGTTATTGTATTTTTAAGAATAATTTTATTTTTTGTTACTGATTAGTCGCTTAAGGTTACAGAAGATAGAAAAGTTTATTTCCCTTTTATTTTCACACATTTTATTTTTACATAAGTAAATAATAAAACCTTGACTTGACTGAATAACTTTATAATAATAAGTTTGACACTTAAATGTTATTTATGAAACTGTTTTAGGTTCAGATTAATAGTGAAACTTTATAATTATGGTTTAAATACGAGTTTCGTTTAATAATAAAAAAAATATTTGATTTTGTTTATGTTTTTATTTACGATTATTGCCCGTTTTATAATTCACCTGAAGCTTTTCTAATCTAACCTACCAGTATCTAATTTAACCTGCCAGTTTCTAATTAACCCGCCTTCTACCTCCTAGAAAATTGGCTATTCCTGGTTCCCTTGTAGCCAAAAGTACACACTTTGACCTAATAAATTAAATAAGATATCATATAGATCACATTCAATCATTTTTTTACTTTTGTCAAAAACGGCAATTTTTTGAAAACTACCCGTTTATCGGTACTAATTATTTGTTTGCGCGTCAAATATTTGTTTAGATATTTAAGTTAGTTAAAAAAGTTAGGTGGGTGCTGTGAAATAATAAATTTTTATTTTTTGCTTAAAAATGACGGTAAAAGAATAATTAAACAATGTAAATTTATAGATTTTCACATGCGCAATCAGCACCCGATATCAGTTTATCCATAAGTTATTTATTTACATCGTAAATAATTAATTAAATAGTCCCATAACCTCAGCCGCAGCGTCCGAGCTCGAGAGTGCATTATCTCAAGTACACTAGCGCTTAAAGCGCTTTTTTCTTTAGTTGGCAGCAACAGCTTTCTGAAGAGTATGAAGTGTAGAAGTAAATACCCTCACAGTAATAGTTGAAAAAGTGGCCACTTAAGCAGTAATAACAGTTCAAAAACTCTCCACAAATGCGTTGGAGTAGCTACTGGGATGAAATGAACTTAGCAGTTGTCGACGGTTTAAGTGTGCTGCTAAACTGCTCAGTAGCTCTAAAATCTAAAATAATTTTATTTAGTAAATATAACCTCGAAAAAGTCGTCTATCCCACTAATATTTTTCGGCGCGTTCTTTAAAATTTACCCCGTAGCTATGTAGTGGCGACACCTTATTTAAAGGTTTTATGGACACTTTTTAATACCCAGTCTGTACCTACTCCTTACTTCTACACTCCATACTAAAGAGCTTTGCCAAACACCTATGTTATCTATGACTTTATAGTTTAAAATCTTTTTAGTTTCCATAAAAAGTTATAGTTATAGATTGAAACCTCTTTTATTATATTTTCAAATAAAAAACAAAAGAAAAAAACATGGTGGCAAAATTGTTAGTAATTCGTTACATCAAGGAAAATTTATACATTTTTTTTTAAACAACGTTACCTCCAAACTAGGATTTTCTCCTGTATTGTGGGAGCAGTTTACAAACATAAATTTCAAGGAAAAGGATCAAAAAAGGACAAACATCCAGACCCGGAACAATTAGATACTTGTAGGCCATACAAATACTTGTTCTGTGCGGGATTCGAACCCGCGGCCCTTAGCGCTGTAACTTATTGCTACTTGCCACTGCGCCACGGAGCCGTCAAAATATTGTTATACTGATATTAATGAATGAGTCGAGATAAAATGTTGCTATCCAACACCTCGTTGCTGAGCCCCTGAGGCCCTGCACACCAGCCAAAACGTGATATCAAGGTTGTGTCACGTTATCCCAGTACTGGAGATGTGGCTGAACGGCACACGGATATTGTGTTACTACGCAGAGACATCATCAATTTTTCCAAATGACCGCCAGAAGACAACCCAATATCACAGCGATGCTACTACAAAGGCTCCAATCCTCCTCTCCTCTACAATCCTCTACAGATTTCAAGCTATAACTGTAACTTTTTATGGAGACTAAAAAGATTTTAAACTATAAAGTCATAAATAATATAGGTGTTTAGGAAGCTGTTGCTGCCAACTAAAGAAAAAAGCGCTTTAAGCGCTAGCGTACTAGGGATATTGCACTCTCGAGCTCGGATGCTGCGGCTGAGGTTATGGGATTATTTACGATGTAAATAAATAACTTATGGATAAAATGATATCGGGTTCTGATTGCGCATGTGAAAATCTATAAATTTACATTGTTTAATTATTCTTTTACCGTCATTTTTATGCATTAACTAAAAATGTATTATTTCACAGCACCTGCCTTATTTTTTTTAATATCTAAACAAATATTTGACGCGCAAGCAAATAATTAGTACCGATAAACATCATTTTTCACGCGCAATCGATTTATACTAGTCACATTTTTAATAATTATTTCCGGGTGCTAACTTCATGGAGCTAGTAAAACTAAAAGAAACGTTTCCAAATGCTTATTGTTAGTCGGGCTAACAGCTCTTTTCGTACACCTACACTCGCAAACCGTCAATACCATACGTATACATAACTCGAAACCGGTCAGTAGCCAATCAAGGACAAGAGCACAAACCAATAAGAAGTACCAGCGTAGACAAAGGCCAATGAATGCCTCTCTAATTCATCAGTGACTGTGAGATAATCATTCCACAGAGTAGATACAATTTAAACAGGTTAATGGTACTGATGACCAAATAGAGCTAATAGAGCTAATAGAACGAACGAGTTCACTGTCCGAAATGTACTAGTACGGAGCGATCTTTAAAATGACCGAGCAGGCACAAGACTAGAAAAGATCGCTGTTGTTGTTCAGAGTGTGCGTGAACAACCATCAACATTAACTTGTCATCGTTCTTAAGAATTGAACATTTCAAGCACTTCATAAAGATCAGACGTGCACGAACTTAGCCGAACACGCTAATCAGCCATGGTAGCTCAGATGGTTAGCGCTCGCTGTAAAATTTAACAGTACGCGAGCAACCCGGATTCGATCCCCGTCGGCACCAATGAAATTGTTAATTGTAATTTTAAGTGTTGATTTACCACGTGCTCGGCGGTGAAGCAAAACATCGTGAAGAAACCTGCATGCCTGAAATAAAAAAAATATTTCGAAGACATGTGAATTTCGCCAACACGCATTGGGGCAGCGCGGCGGACACTTTCTTGCCCTAAAAACCCTCTCAGAAATGAGAGGAGGCCTGTGCCCAGCGGTGGGATGTATATAGGTTGTAGCTATAAAGATCTCGGTATGAATGCGTACAAAGTTCAATTTATGCAAGAGCTGAAGCCACAACGGCAACGGTTTAAATAAAACAACTTAAAGATTAATACGATATCGCTTTAATAACACTTGTTTGTTTTTGCGTATCTACTTACATATAAGTATAGGTACAAGTTGCAAATCAAAAAAATATCATCATCATCAGCCAAATATCATCCAGATCAGCGGCGGTCCACTGCTAGACGTAGGCCTTTCCCAAGGCGCGCCACATCCCGATCTTCGGCTACACGCATCCAGATTCTACCAGCCACATTGCGCAGATTATCGCTCCATCTGGTCAGGGAGCCTCCCACAATACGTTTGCTTAGCTACGCGGTATCCACTCCATTACACGTCTAAGTACTCCACAACATAACATTTCTGTACTGTTTTGTACATCATCTTCAAATGTGTGTCCCTCCGTATAAGAAATCGGTGTGGTGAATATGGAGCACGGTCAAGTATTTCAAACCTAGCTTTTTTTACATGGCAGAGCCAGTTTGCAACTATATTAGTAGTGCAGTTGTAGTACGAATGCTTACGTGGTAGAGCCATGCTGCAGCTTTATTAGTAGTATAGTTGAAGCACGAATGAAATAATCACTCTCACAGAATACCAGTGTAAAACAACAGCTTAATGCTGCTGTGTTTCGTATGGTGACTGTAGAGAACCGGAGACCCTTTTTACTGGAAACGAGACATTCCATCTTAGTCCTTGCGGGTGACAACGCATCTGTATTTTGAGTCGTAATCGAGGATAGATGTAGATGTCTATGGGCCACAGCAACCATTTACCATCAGGTAGATTGTGTGCTCGTTTGTTACCCTTATTCTATAAAAAGCTAGCATTTCATACTGCAGGCAACGGCGTTCTTGTAAGCCGAAGGACTTTTTGCCTATAGCCATTTTGTTGCCTCGCGGATTTTGTTGAGAATTTTTTTATTAGTTCTGAATATAAAGTGCCCGTAAGCTGTATCTTCAAGAAAGAGCTCTTCAATCATTTATCCCCCTCGACTATCCTAGAAATCTATCGGATAGAAATATAGCGGAAGGATTCTCCTTAATTTCCTGGGAGTCGAAGACGATTGACTTTTTCAAGTCTTAATAGATTCTTTAAAATTAAAGAGAATTTATTCCCGAACGTAATGGTAAATCTATGTTTCGTCCATTGTTGTAAATTAAGCCATAAAACGATTAAGATCTTGTTGAAAACGTTCCAAAAAGCCGCGGGAAATAATCTGGTTTGTTTCTGCGCACCCTTATCCGTTCCGGATACCCAACGCTCGGATATTTAGGTATTTAATCCGCAACCTAAACGTTCATGAGAAAGTTAAGCACACTGCCTAATTCGGTTCATTTAAATTCGGTATACCAACGTGCTACTGTAGAATAAGGTGGAGCATAATATAGCATATAAGGTGGGTGGACCATGGAAGGCCATGCTCCTTCGAAGGCCAATTATTAAAATGTGATGACAAATTCCTTCTACTTACACAAACACCCATCGAACTGAAAATCACAGACGCGGCGGCGAATCGCTCTCGCTACTATTTTGGCAGTATGGTCCCTGGCTTCATTAATTACGGGAATCGACGACGTTAAAATAAGGTGGGTGGGTGGTGTATCATGGAAGGCCACTCTAACAAATAAACAGTTATTATTCGTTTATTTACTGGGTAAATGAGG